AAAAAAAAAAAAAAAAAAAAAAAAAAAAAAAAGATAATGGCAATAGGAACATACATATTGATAACTACCTTAAATGTAAATGGATTCAGTGCTCCAACCAAAAGACATAGACTAGCTGAATGGATACAAAAACAAGACCCGTATAGATGCTGTCTACAAGAGACCCACTTCAGACCTGGGACACATACAGACTGAATGTGAGGGGATGGAAAAAGATATTCCGTGCAAATGGAAATCAAAAGAAAACTGGTGTAGCAATTCTCATATCAGACAAAATAGACTTTAAAACAAAGACTATTACAAGAGACAAAGAAGGACACTACATAATGATCAAGGAATCAATCCAAGAAGAAGATATAACAATTGTAAATATTTATGCATCCAACATAGGAGCACCTCAATACATAAGGCAAATGCTAACAACCATGAAAGGGGAAACTGACAGTAACACAATCAAAGTAGGGGACTTTAACACCCCACTTTTACCAATGGACAGATCATCCAAAATGAAAATAAATAAGGAAACACAAGGTTTAAATGATACATTAAACAAGATGGACTTAATTGATATTTATAGGACATTCCATCCAAAAAGAGCAGAATACACTTTCTTCTCAAGTGCTCACGGAACATTCTCCAGGATAGATCATATCTTGGGTCACAAATCAAGCCTTGTTAAATTTAAGAAAATTGAAATCGTATCAAGTATCTTTTCTGACCACAATGCTATGAGACCAGATATCAATTACAGGAAAAAAATCTGTAAAAAATACAAACACATGGAGGCTAAACAATACACTACTACCTAACCAAGAGGTCACTGAAGAAATCAAAAAATACCTAGAAACAAATGACAATGAAAACACAATGACCCAAAACCTATGGGATGCAGCAAAAGCAGTTCTAAGAGGGAAGTTTATAGCAATACAATCCTACCTCAAGAAACAAGAAACATCTCAAATACACAACCTAACGTTACACCTAAAGCAATTAGAGAAAGAAGAACAAAAAAAAACCAAAGTTAGCAGAAGGAAAGAAATCATAAATATCAGATCAGAAATAAATAAAAAGGAAATGAAGGACACAGTAGCAAAGATCAATAAAACTAAAAGCTGGTTCTTTTTTTTTTTTTTTTTTTTTGTGATACACGGGCCTATCACTGCAGTGGCCTCTCCTGCCATGGAGCACAGGCTCCAGACGTGCAGGCCCAGCAGCCATGGCCCACGGGCCCAGCCTCTCTGTGGCATGTGGGATCCTCCCAGACCAGGACATGAACCCGTGTCCCCTGCATTGGCAGGTGGACTCTCAACCACTGCACCACCAGGGAAGCCCCTAAAAGCTGGTTCTTTGAGAAGATAAACAAAATTGATAAACCATTAGCCAGACTTGTCAAGAAAAAAAGGGAGAAGACTCAAATCAACAGAATTAGAAATGAAACAGGAGAAGTAACAACTGACACTGCAGAAATACAAAGGATCATGAGAGATTACTACAAGCAACTCTATGCCAATAAAATGGACAACCTGGAAGAAATGGACAAATCCTTAGAAATGCACAACCTTCCGAGACTGAACCAGGAAGAAATAGAAAATATAAACAGACTGATCACAAGCGCTCAAATTGAGACTGTGATTAAAAATCTTCCAACAAACAGAAGCCCAGGACCAGATGCTTCACAGGCGAATTCTATCAAACATTTAGAGAAGAGCTAACATATATCCTTCTCAAACTCTTCCAAAATATAGCAGAGGGAGGAACACTCCCTAACTCATTCTATGAGGCCACCATCACCCTGATATGAAAACCAGACAAAGATGTCAAAAAGAAAGAAAACTACAGGCCAATATCACTGATGAACATAGATGAGAAAATCCTCAACAAAATACTAGCAAACAGAATCCAACAGCACATTAAAGGGATTACGCACTATGATCAAGTGGGGTTTATCCCAGGAATGCAAGGATTCTTCAATATACGCACATCAGTCAATGTGATACACCATATTAATAAACTGAAGGAGAGAAACTATATGATCATCTCAGTACATGCAGAAAAAGCTTTTGACAACATTCAACATCCATTTATGATAAAAACCCTTCAGAAAGTGGGCATAGAGGGAACCTACCTCAACATAATAAAGGCCATATATGAGAAACCCACAGCCAGTGTCATTCTCAATGGTGAAAAACTGAAACCATTTCCACTAAGATTAGGAGCAAGACAAGGTTGCCCACTCTCACCACTATTATTCAACATAATTTTGGAAGTTTTAGCCACAGCAATCAGAGAAGAAAAAGAAATAAAAGGAATCCAAATCGGGAAAGAAGAAGGAAAACTGTCACTGTTTGCAGATGACATGATACTATACATAGAGAAGAATCCTAAAGACGCTACCAGAAAAATACTAGAGCTAATCAATGAATTTTGTAAAGTAGCAGGAAACAAAATTGATGCACAGAAATCTCTTGCATTCCTATACACTAATGATGAAAAATCTGAAAGAGAAATTAAAGACATTCCCATTTACCATTGCAACAAAAAGAATAAAATACCTAGGAATAAACCTACCTAAGGAGACAAAAGACCTACATGCAGAAAACTACAAGACACTGATGAAAGAAATTAATGGTGATACAAATAGATTGAGAGGTATACCATGTTCTTGGATTGGAAGAATCGACATTGTGAAAATGACTATACTACCCAAAGCAATCTACAGATTCAATGCAATCCCTATCAAACTACCACTGGCATTTTTCACAGAACTAGAAGAAAAATTTCACAATTTGTATGGAAACACAAAAGACCCCGAATAGCCAAACCAATCTTGAGAAAGGAAAATGGAGCTGGAGGAATCAGGCTCCCTGACTTCAGACTATACAACAAAGCTACAGTAATCAAGACAGTATGGTACTGGCACAAAATCAGAAATATAGATCAATGGAACAGGATAGAAAGCCCAGAGATAAACCCGCGCACAAATGGTCATCTTATCTTTGATAAAAGAGGCAAGAATTTACAATGGAGAAGAGACAGACTCTTGAATAAATGGTGCTGGGAAAACTGGACAGCTACATGTAAAAGAATGAAATTAGAACACTCCCTAACACCATACACAAAAAATAAACTCAAAATGGATTAAAGACCTAAATGTAAGGCCAGACACTATAAAACTCTTAGAGGAAAACATAGGCAGAACACTCTATGACATAAAACACAGCAAGATCCTTTTTGACCCACCTGCTAGAGAAATGGAAATAAAACCAAAAATAGGGCTTCCCTGGTGGCGCAGAGGTTGAGAGTCTGCCTGCCCATGCAGGGGACACGGGTTCGTGCCCCGGTCCGGGAAGATCCCACATGCCGTGGAGTGGCTGGGCCTGTGAGCCATGGCCGCTGAGCCTGCACATCCACAGCCTGTGCTCTGCAATGGAAGAGGCCACAACAGTGAGAGGCCCGCGTACCAAAAAAAAAAAAAAAACCCAAAAATAAACAAATGGGACCTAATGAAATTTAAAAGCTTTTGCAAAGCAAAGGAAACCATAAACAAGACAAAAAGACAACCCTCAGAATGGGAGAAAATATTTGCAAATGAAGCAACTGACAAAGGATTAATCTCCAAAATTTATAAGCAGGTCATGCAGCTCAATATCAAAAACAAACAACCCAATCCAAAAATGGGCAGAAGACCTAAATGGACATTTCTCAAAAAAAGATATACAGATTGCCAACAAACACATGAAAGGATGCTCAACATCACTAATCATTAGAGAAATGCAAATCAAAACTACAATGAGGTATCACCTCACACCCGTCAGAATGGCCATCATCAAAAAATCTACAAACAATAAATGCTGGACAGTGTGGAGAAAAGGGAACCCTCTTGCACTGTTGGTGGGAATATAAATTGATACAGCCACTATGGCAAATAGTATGGAGATTCCTTAAAAAACTAAAAATAGAACTACCATATGACCCAGCAATGCCACTACTGGGCATATATCCAGGGAAAACCATAATTCAAAAAGAGTCATGTACCACAATATTCATTGCAGCACTATTTACAATAGCCAGGACATGGAAGCAACTTAAGTGTCCATCAACAGATGAATGGCTAAAGAAGGTGTGGCAGATATATACAATGGAATATTACTCAGCCATAAAAATAAACGAAATTGAGTTATTTGTGGTGAGGTGGATGGACCTAGAGACTGTCATACAGTGTGAAGTAAGTCAGAAAGAGAAAAACAAATGCTAACCCATATATATGGAATCTAAAAAAAAATGGTTCTGAAGAACCTAGGGGCAGGACAGGAATAAAGACACAGACGTAGAGAATGGACTTAAGGACACAGGGAGGGGGAAGTGTAAGCTGGGACGAAATGAGAGAGTAACATTGACATATATACACTACCAAATGTAACATAAAACTAGTGGGAAGCAGCTGCATAGCACAGGGAGATCAGCTCGGTGCATTGTGTCCCCCTAGAGGGGTGGGATAGGGAGGGTGGGAGGGAGACGCAAGAGGGAGGAGGTATGGGGATATATGTATACATATAGCTGATTCACTTTGTTATACAGCAGGAACTAACACACCATTGTAAAGCAATTATACTCCAGTAAAGATGTTAAAATATTTTTTTTAATTATAAAAGAAAATTGTAACACTTTTTACTGGTGAGGCTAGTGATTTCTGGCTTCTATCCTATTCAAGTTGACTACTGCCACTGAATACGATGACACCTGTTTTCCTCCCACTGTGCACATATTAGAACTTTACAGTAGGGATTATACTTGAGTAGTCTCTAGGCTCTATGGCTCAGTACAGAATGGTAAGGTTTTATGGTAAATTGTCAGCATAAGCATGGCATTCTACTATAATCATTAATTGAATAAATTAAAGTTTTATTCGATTGAAAAAAAAGATGGCATTATACGGGGCATGCGCATGTGTGTGTGTGTGTGTGTGTGTGTGTGTGTGTGTGTGTGTGTGTGTGTAGGATATGCTTTTACTTGCATTAGCCAAGAAGTCAGAACCTGAACATATGACTGGAGATTCAAATATCTGAGTAACAATATTACTTTCTGACAGAGAACTATTTACTAGAAGATTCTCAGTAGGAATTGAATTGCTTTTATTAGTTTATTTTAAATGTGCATTTCCCTTTTGTACCTCTGTTTCAAAAGGGAGTATTTACGCTATTTCAGAATGTGTGAACATCCTCCATTTACTGAGCCATGGAAGATGTTTTCTGCCAGTTCCCCGGTTCAGCAGCTCTCAGTGAGTTCCAGTTAAGCCAGAAAAAAACTGCTGCCATCCTGCTCATCGTCTTTGGCGAGCATTTCCTAACCCATCCCCCTCCTGCACAGAGCAGCGGATCCCCACACTGGTGTCTGCAGGGCCATTTAGGAATCTCCTCTGATCCCATCCCTCTGTTATTCCTCTTCTCACTGCTTTGCTATTCTATACTCAGTTTCCAACTTAATAGAAATGCAGGTGCGCACATGAGCGTCTAGGTTTACCAAAATACACATTTTTCTTGAGTGCTTCCCTCTTGGAGTGTGTGGACAAAGCCAGCATATGATCTTCCCATTATCACGCTGTTTTAATGTCTAACTGACAGATGCCTGTCAGTAAAACAAGGCAATAATGGGCAGAAAATATCTCTGCTCTTAGAGAGCAAAAAAGAAAGACCCTGGATTCCTGTCGTCTCAGAGACACTTGTCAGCCGTTGTTAAGGAAGACTTATAAATGCCTCTGTGGCGAATACCTCTGAATGGCCTGAATGTTTTCACCCTTATTAGTGAGAAGGTGAAAAGGGAGCTGTTTCTCATACATGTGCAAGTTTCACCCACATGCAGTTTCTTTCTTCCCCTAGTGGAAGCTTGCCCATCGTGTTAATGTGCCACCATTGCAGCCTGGAGCTGGGTGTGGCCATGCCAGATGGCACCTGCAGGCTTCATTGGACAGGAATGGTTTCCTGATGGGTCACAGACGAAGCCCAAAAATCTAGTACAGACTTGATGACCTTAGCTAGTCAGTCTGAAGTGGTGTAGTTCTGCCGACTGGCTTCTACACTGGCGGCACCTTCAGATATATTCAGTGAATGATAAGACAGTGGAAGTCACTTGCTCACAGGAGCAAGTGACACCAAGTCAACTGTGCCGCAGTAAGCCGAAGAGGGTAGATTTTAAGATTGTTCTTGTTTTCCTAAGGGATCGGTAAATGCAGAAGACCTCTGTCTTCAGGGAGTGTTCAGCCTAGGGAAAGACTCTATCAACCCTAAAGACAAGAGTCGTATACCAAAGTAGGCAAGGGAAACAGTGCCTGGCCTTCCAGTGAGAAGAGAGATACACAATGGCAGGGACTTGGGCTCAGACATATTTTGTGTCCTTTTTCATTACAAATCCAGTTCTCTATACTCAAGCAGAAGGGTTAGTTATTGCGTGGTGATTTGACTTTTTTTTAAATTTCAATAAAGACAGATGGACCTTTAAGAATAACATAGAAAGCAACAAAAACAACTCAGTTACTATAGGATGTACCTAAAGCAACAATTCCTTACTCTGAAAATTGGCAGTCAAAGGAAAGAATTAAGCAGTTATTATGGCTTCTCTGTGCAAATTGTATTTCAGAATGACCAGATTGCAAGTGTTGATGAAGGAAAATTCTTTTTCACATGAGAACTCTAGCCACTAAATGTGGAAGGGAAGTTAGAATTGGAAAAGCATAATTCTGTAGCCCCCAAATGAAATCATTGATTCAAGCACCTGTCATAAATGGGATGCAATCATTAGCCCATTAGGTATGTTATGGGGAACTCCACAATGGAGGAATCAGGCTGCCCTCACCTGAACCCTCTAAAAGTGGTTCATTGTTATCTTAGGAGCCTGCCCGCTCTGATGCAATAGGTAAGTACACAACATGAGCTATTGTTGCAGAAGAGTTGAACTTGAACTTAAACCAATCAGTAAGGTTCCAGAAAATACAGGGGATAGAAGAACAAGTTAAATGATACTACAAGAAAAATTAAAAACGTAGCTATTGGGATGGGGCTTAAGAGGAGCCCTGTGCCAGTTTCTTTAGCAAGACATTAGCAAGGGGGAAAAAGGGAGGTGGCTGTGTGCAAGTGAGAGGGACTTAGATGTGTCCAAATGTTACACCTTGTCTGGATCATTTAAACAAAGCAACCATAAAAGATTTTTCAAGACAGTTGGAGAAATTTGAATACAGTTTGGGTAACAGATGATAACAAGGAATTATTAAGTTTGTTAGGTATGATAATGGTTTTGTGGTTCTATAAGAAACGTTCATATTTTTAGAAATTCATACTTAAGTATGTAGGGGTAAAATGACAATTTCTGAGACTTGCATAAAAATCTTAATAGGGTGGAAGGAAGGAAGCAAGGGTGAAACAGGTGTAGCAAAATCTTGCTAGGTCGGGATGATGAAGAATATGTGGGGTTACTGTAGTTTTCTCCCTATTTGTTTGAAATTTTTCTTGATAAAAATATTTTTTAAAAAGAGTAACAGCTCTCTCAGAAGGTGGTGGGGAATCCACTGGAGATGTGATTAGAAAAAGGTCATTACCTGATGGTCAAAAATTTTATGTTTTTTTCTTTTTTTTGAAGATATCCTTTATTTTTAAAAAAAAGAAAGCTAGTTTTCTAAGATTTGGGGGGTAGTCACTGGAAACCAATTTCATGGCTTCATGTCAAGCAATTGGAGGAGAATTTGGGAGACAAATAGTCTGCAATGTGAAAGTGAATGCTGATCTTAGCTGGAATAACTTGCTTTCTTCAGTGTCTGCAGTGGCTGGTCTCCAGGGACTTATCTGGCTACATGTGTTTTTCACATTTATTAGTGAAATTGGAGAGTCAAGAGTAAAACACAGTCCTCGGGAACATTGTGTTCATTTGTGACACACTAGAGATTTTTTAGCCCATAAAGCAAATGAACGAGCTCCATAGGGGTATAACTGTTATTTTCACCCTCAAAGGCAGTAAAGACCCACTGTATTTACTAAGTAATTAGAGAATAGAAAATGAATAGTGCTATGAAAATAGAAAAATAGACTCTCACTATTGCTATTAATAGTCTAATTTTTTTGTCTGTTCTGAAGGAAAACTACCATCAGATGAAAATTTCAAAGTAAAGGTAGACCTCTGCTTTAATATTTGGTTGTTTGGTCTTGGATAATAAGTTAATTCAGTGTCCATGTAAGGTTGTTTTTGTTTCTGTCAAACAAGAGGGGTCACATTAAGGAACCTCACTCATTGTTTTTGCAAGGACGAATACACAAAGAAATGAACAGACCAGATATTTGATTTAGGACCTTCCTCCTGAGTGATTGACTGGCCTAAGGGAAAACAGCCCTCCACTAACTGATGCCCTGGAGCATTTCTAGCAGACTTTAAACACTCTGCTCCCGTGGAGGCTTGGGGAGAGAGTGGGCTGGTTCTCACACTAAAAAATGTCCAGATGAAGCTGACACTCCAATGGGTGTGGGCTGTGTAAGATGCGGGGCCAATGCAACCATCAATGTCAAGATGCAGGGCAAGATGGGACAGAGGAGCAAGTGCGGGAGGGGGCATGTGCTCTACTTAGAAAACAGAAGGCCTGAGAGGCCCCTTTGAAGGGGTTTGGAAGCGCTTTGCATTGAGGTAAATAGGAAGTATCAATACGAATGAGGCCCTTTTTGCCACCGATTTCACGGTCCACAAGAATCCAGAGTATACAGCTGTCAAGAAGTTAAGTGATAAAGTGATCTCAGATCACTTGGTCCTTGGCTGACTGTTAGTTTTTTCTTGTGCTTGTTTATATCTTGATGGTTTAAAAGACTGGACACATTCTAGGGAACCAATAAAAAGAAACTGTGGTTTTTGTGTGTATGTGTGAGCGTGTGTGTAGTGGAAGGAAAGGGGAGCAGTGTCCAAGAGCTGAGAAGAGTAATTCCAGGGAGCATTTCTGTGTTTTTTACCTATGTTATACAAGACTGTCAAAACAGAACTGTCAGCAGTTCTGCCCCCAAAAGACATTCGCTTGGGAAGATGGTAGGGTAGTAAGGATGACTACAGAGGGGTGGGCTAGGCAAGGGGATTAGAGGTAGGGTCTGGAAGGGACCTCTTCCCCACCCTGGTCCTCAGCTGATATGAGCTCACCCTGCTGCACTGCAATCTTAAGCACTGCCGGTTACCAAGTGACCACCACAGGCCAGGCACATACCTACCCCAGGTCCAGCATGTCAGGGAGGAAACTGAGGCTTAGGGCCAAGTAAATTTTGAGTAGCAGTTCAAAGCCAGGACTCCTTGATCCAAAACTAGGGCTCTGTCCCCTCCCCAACAAAGGCTCCTAGAGGTACCCCTGAATCCAAAGCCAAGTATGTACAAAGGCAACACAGAAACACCCGGAGACTCTGACCACATGGGAAAGAACAAGTGGCGTTTGGGGGACTTTCAGTAATATGAAGCATATGACAGGGAGCCCACCCATAATGCCAAAGACAGAGCTAAAAAGCAAAATCCAAAAGAGTTTTTGTCTTTGCTCTGCACTTGCCTTACTATTCCTTGGCGAGCTGAGTAACTTCGGATATCCTCGTGTGTAAATGGAGGTCCACCAGCCAAACGTCTCCTGGGGCTCCAGCAAACACTGCAGGGAGATCTGGGCCTCGGAGCCTGGCGGAATGCAGAGCTTGGACCCTACCCCGTGAGAGAACAAGACTACAACCTCCCCATGGTCTTGGTGAAATGCAGCTGGGGAAAGCCCCAAGGAACCCTGGGGCTTAAAATAAGCCACAGCTGGCTTTATTCCAGGCTCTGGGAGGCTGGGGTCAAGATGGAGCACACCTGTGTAGCTAGTACGGCGTTGTTTGTATGGAGGAGGGTGAGATACGGCTTGGAATGGACCCCAAATCAACTTCCTTTAATGGCGGGCATTCACTTGGAGGCTGGTGGAAGATGTGTATGAACCTATCCACAAATCCAGAACTTGTAGTCCTTAGAGCGTATTCAGCCCTCATTTGTAGCCAAAATTTTTTCCTTCCATATCATCAGATATCCTGGTCAACGTGCCCTACCCTCCATACCTTCCTTACGCTGAACAGGTAGCCGTTTGGCACTGGGCACACTGAATATCATTTGAAGCATACACTTTTCTCATCTCTGAGTAACGTCCCGTGAACATCTCATTGTGCTTTGCCTGCTCCCCTCTATTTTTTAAACTTGACGTTTAAACTTTTCTGATGTGCCCTGATTGTTCCCGAGCCCCTGGAACTCAACCAGGCAGCTCATGGCTCTCCTAGCTCAGCAGGGCTCCCTGTGCAGGACCAGTTGTTATTTACAAGTGTGATTCAGCTGTCGCTGTGCCTCTGAACACACAGGGTCGTTGTAGGATTTTAATTGCCATTTTCCTCTATATAATTAAAATGAAGTGAAAAAAATGGGATAGCCTCCAAAATCTGAATTAATTTCGTGAGTACTTCTTGAGGGGAAAAAATATGTATAAATATGATAATCGTTACTTGATTTGCCTTCAGCAGAACTAGAGGATTTTACCTGGCTGGAAAAAAATATATAGTCATTTTAAATGGAAGAAAAATTAGCCTGATACTTCTTGTGGCTGAGAATCAGAATTAATAACGTGGATGGGAAATGATAAATAACTCTGGATATCAATTTCAAAAAGAACATTGGGAACAAGCTGTAACTCTCTCTGGATCCAACTTGCCTTATGCTGGTCTGGGTTTTTTTCTTTCCATGGTTCATCGTTGGTGTTTACCCGTTTCTCAATAAAATGCCATAACCCCCAAATCAAAAATTCCTTCATGCTCGGAAACAGGCATTTCACCTGCTTGCTCTGCTCTGTAAGCGTGACAATGAGCACGTAGCAGGGAAGAATGAAACGACAAAAAGAGAAGTCGTTTTTTTGTTTGTTTGTTTTTTTAATTCACTGGGCTCCCAGTGTTTCACTCTGCAGACTCATCAAGCACCTGATGGACATGTTTATAAAGACTTGGATGGTCACTTTATTTGGAATGACAAACTCTCTGCTCTACATAATGAGGTCAGTGAAGCATCCAGAAAAGAAATGTATAATTTGGTAGCTTGGGTCTGTAGGCACAGCCCTGCTGCGGCTATTTAAGTTTAATGAAGCAGCTATTTTGCCGCTAACACGCTCTTCGTGAATAGCCTCCTTGGTGCGTTTTTGAAAACTTAAGTGTTGCTGGTAATCATGTCCCAGCAATCTCCTTGGAGAGCCTTTGTGCCATGTTCTCAGAAGAAATATGCTGCTTTTACATGTTAATGGTTTTGAAATTAGTCATGTGCTCCATTTCCATTGGAAAGGAAGGTCAGTGTGTGATTTCTTGCCTGCCTTCATTTTTTCTGAACATTCAGGATACTCTTAAGTCAGTCCATCAGCCATGCAGTGCACTGTCTGTTTATAACATGCCTGAAAAGCCAGGGAAATGTTCTATCAAAGAGCGATCCTATTCTCAGAGACTGTTCTTAGAATTCAAAGTCTAAAAATCCAACTCAGAGGGGAAAGTTCCTGGACAGGCCATTATTGCTATTTTTTCCCCTTTCAATCACTGACCGACTTGTATCATCCATTCCTTGGCCTCATTAGAGGAGGCCTTGCTCCCTGAGTATGCAGCTCCTCGAAGGAGACTAAAAGACATTTTCGAGATCCTTTTTGAGGCAGATTTGCTCATGTAAAACTAAGGTCAGTTTTCTGAATCCTGGAACAGCATTAATGATGCACAGCTCTGTGGGAGCAGAAAGCCGTCTAGCCATTCCATAGTTCTGCACTCTCATTCCCTCAAATGTAGGGCATTGGGTGGTATCCCCCGAACTGGCAAGGGCATGATTGCTAGGGGGAAGGTGCCATGTCCTCATGGCTCTGCAGCCCTGGAGAGGGTCTGGGGAACACTCCATACTGTTTGGTGGAAATGTAAAGCAGGACTTGAAATGGTTAGACCCTGCACCACCAGAAACTTCCTAGGAATACCTAGTAAGTTCTCAAAAAATGCTTGTTTGAATGGATAAAATAATGAACGAATCCTTTGATTTGCTTTGTTGGCCAACTCTGGCTTTGGAGGTCATACAGGGCCCTTCCGGGACATACTGAGCACCTGAGGAGCCTACCTTTTAAAACCTCTGGAATTAGCATTAGGGTTGAATTTGGAGGTCCAGTCTGGCTCTAGACTGCCCCGCGGAGCTTGGGCCTGCTCAGACCACTGCCCATGCAGCCCACACGACCAGATTAGCACCAGGGTGCACACACCGTTATGCTCTTGTTTTCACCTTTAAATCCTGTGGGTAATTTTTATACCCAAATAGAGTTGCCAACGCACCAGGTACCTCCCCAAAATAGCTTTCTTATCCTACATCTGAGAGATTAAAGTTGACTTGCGCTGAAAATGCAGGTTCTGATAGAAGCAGGCTTAAAAAGGCAGCTGGGTGTGGCTTGTGTTTTCTTTTCCAGTGTATTTAGATTAGCTAAGATAATGGTAGCTGCTGGAAAAAATAGACACGAATACCAAACATAATAGCAGTTTTTCATCGGGTATCTGTACTAAACATTTTAATGGAAAAGGGCAACCTGTGTTGGGGGGTGTGAAGGTGACAGGTCTTGGGAGGGTGAGGAGACACAGGCTGCAAGCAAGACTCCCTTTGTGCTCCCCGCGGGGAGGGATGGAGTGGCACAAGGTCAGGGCTCAAGTGTGACCCAGAGGGAGCAGTGGGTACAAACTGACCAGCCACGGAGGAGAGCGGTTACACAAGACGGAAGAGATGCAACCCAGGCCAGGAAAAGAGCAGGAAAGGTTAATATAGTAATAAAATGCGCATGTGCATGACTGCCTGTGCACGGCTCATTCCAGCTTCCAGAGCACGTTCACATGTCTCATCTTATTTGAGGCCTCACAAACAACCAGATGAGCTGGCTCAGGAAGTATCAATACCCTAATTTCAAATGCAAGTAATCTCAGCAAAGTCAGAGAGACTGAATGGTTTACGCTGGCGTGTGGTGAGCCAGGGTGCAAGCTTGGGTGTCCTGCCTCTGAGAACAGAGCCTTGCCCATAACTCTGTGGTCCTTATGGAGGTTCGGGGGCTGTGAGGCAAGAGGGCTGCACAGGTGAGCGGGGCTCTCTTCCCTGCCCTTCCCCCTCGTCCTCTGGACGCATCCTCTTGATGCCAGCCATGTTCCCATGGAAATCACTTACTGACAGCAGAAACGCAGCCACAGTTAGGTGCAGCCTGGTTGGGTCCTTGCTTTTATGAAACTGTACACTGTCCTTTAAAGGGGTCACAGTTTCACAGACAGGCCTTTTTATCTTTACCATTGCCTAATCAGGCTTTCATTTCTGTAGCCACTCCTTCCTTTTCTATTTGTCTCCCTCTCATCCACCTATTCCCAGCCCTCCCACTGAGTGCAGCTGAATTTGGCCAATGCCAAATCATGCTTTATTCTCAGCCTGAGGAATTATATAAGGTGTGAAGCCTGGCCAACAAAGAACTCCTCCCATCAGTGTAATTTGAGGTTTCAAGTGTCTATGGACACCACTCCCTCCCAGCATCATGTTTTTTGTCCTGAGAAATCCCAGAGAGCAGCGCTCTTGGGTGGACTTCCTAGGGGCGGTATTGATAAGAAAGCGGTCAAATGGCACTTGAAATTTTGCGGAAAGATCAGTGGAAGACCAGTGCTAGGCTACAAACCCACAGCTCAGCTCTTTCTAGCATCCACGGCAGCAGCCTGCTGTTTTCCCAGGTGGCTCTGAAAGAGACAGGGAAATGCAGTGGGCCATTTGTCACTGCCTGAGGTGCAACACATGCATGCCAATTGGTGCCCGCAGCCTGCAAGGCCCACTCCTGCCCCACACCTTGATCTCAGCCCCTGGGCTGCTTCTTTTTTTTTTTTTTTTTTCCCCCAGTCGCACCACACAGCCTGTGGGGATCTTAGTTCCCTGACCAGGGATCGAACCTGTGACCCCTGCATTGGAAGCACGGAGTCTTAACCAACTGGATCACCAGGGAAGTCCCCCTGGGCTTCTTCTTCTTTTTTTTTTTTTTTTTATGGTACGCGGGCCTGTCACTGTTGTGGCCTCTCCTATTGCAGAGCACAGGCTCCGGACGCGCAGGCTCAGCGGCCATGGCTCACGGGCCCAGCCGCTCTGCGGCATGTGGGATCTTCCCGGACCGGGGCACGAACCCGTGTCCCCTGCATCGGCAGGCGGACTCTCAACCACTGTGCCACCAGGGAAGCCCGCCCTGGGCTTCTTTTGACTGAGGTTGGGGAGGTGTGCTTCCTTCTCTCCTCCTCCACCTGATTTGATTCCCTCTCTGGGGCTGAAACCAACTCAGTGCTTCCCACCAGGATCGAGGTGCCCATCCTCTGTGTAGTCCCTCCCACCCCACTTTCAATTCAAGACATGGTCTTTGAGAAGTGTGCAGACTCACCCTGGCGTGCAGGACTTAGTATCTCAGGGTTATTCTCGTGTGTGCTGGTCAGTGGAGGTGCTGGCGTGTTCTTCAGTGAGTGCTGGACTCGAGTATCATTTCAATCCTAAGTTGGGCTCAGTGTTCTGCAGAGATGGCACGAGGGAAAGAGCCAGGGCTTGCCTGCAGAAGAAGGCAAGGTTGAGGAGCCTTTTATTTCTTTATGCCCAACTCAGTGCCTGGCACTCTCTGTGAATGGAATAAACTGATCAGATGGTGGGTAATATCCCTTTCACCTTTGAGAAGACAAGTGAAATGAAGAATAACAACCAGAAGTGAAACTACAGTTTTAAGGAAACTCTACTTCCAGAACTGTTTTTTTTTTTTTTTTTTTTTTGCAGTATGTGGGCCTCTCACTGTTGTGGCCTCTCCTGTTGCGGAACACAGGCTCCGCACGCGCAGGCTCAGTGGCCATGGCTCACGGGCCCAGCCGCTCTGCGGCATGTGGGATCTTCCCGGACCGGGGCACGAACCCGTGTCCCCTGCATCGGCAGGCGGACTCTCAACCACTGTGCCACCAGGGAAGCCCTCCAGAACTGTTTTAAGGGCATTTTATTGCAAATTTAGGTCAGACATTTAGAACAACTTCCTTTGGTGAGGACTTAATCCAGTCTAGTTATAAGTGAATGAACTTGGGAACCTTGTGTGTCTGAGTGGCATTCCCCTCACTAAGGGCGGCCTCACCGTTGACCAGCCTGGCCTCCTTTTCTCACTCTGCATCCTTTCTCTGCCTCCTTCCAGCTCCGTGGAGTGGAAGGAGGGAATGCTTGGCCCTCTGAGCTGGAGTTAATGCAAAACCCGAAAATAGACTCTCAGACTGCACCCAGACATAATGATTCCGTGAGGCAAGAAGGTCACTGTGTCTGCTTTTCCTGCCAACACACCCCTGGCTCTTAATCTGTGGCTGCCTTGTGAAGCAAGAGAGCTGTGCCAGGAAGTTACACTTTGTGACTGTGAGGCATTATGAGAATTTAAAATCATGTCAATGGGGATTTATAAGGGCAGGCCAGGGGACAGGGGTTAGACACAGATTTCGAAGCCGACCTTTGAACATCCTTTTTGTTCTGTGGCCCCAGCTACAAATCAACTCCACCCTGCCAACCCTGCCAAAAATTAAAAAGTTTACTGTGGTTATTCAAGTGGTGGGGTTTTGAGTGATTTTTATTTTCTTTGTGCCGTTCTATACTTTCTGTAACGTATATTCTTGTTTTTGCAATGTGGAAAAAAAAAAAAGCAACAAATCCTATTTAACGAGGAAAAGTATACTAGCTAATCATCTCATTGTGTTTCTTGAATGCTTGGTACCTGGGGGTTGAGAAGCCCACCGGAGTCGTGACAGTGACATGGAAGGGGCAGCCCTGCCTCTGCCCCACATCAGGCCTAAGACCAGGGCTGGTGTCCACAGCCCTCGCCCCATTGCCAGGTTCCAAAGGGCTCCTGGAAGAGGCCAGACCACAGACCCTGAGAGGACTAGAGGCAGCCTAGGAGAACAGGAAAGGGAGCCAGCCAGACACCTCGGCAGGAAGGAGGGGATTCCGTTCCCGTCCAATGGTCAGGCCTGTGGGATATGTGCTTGTCAGCAGGGACAGTGTCAGCTCAAGTTCATCTGGAAACACTGCGTTCTCCTCCTGAGAACGTCCAGTTGCTGCACATTGTTCTGGAAGTTGGGCAGATCCTATTTTCCAAACCTGTAAGAGTCGAGTAAAATGTAACAAATATCTGGGAGAAAATAACCCTTTGAGGAATTCCAAACATGCTCTTAGGGTTGGGAAGCAAATTTATTTAGACTTGGGGCCTTGACCACCCAGACTGGTTATTGATGGGAACTCAGTCTATCCATCAAGCCTGCCACTGTCCACTGAGTCCAGGCTGTCCCAGGCTCAGGAGCTCGAGGTGAGCAGACTGGGCAGAGATGGTCCGTACGGACCATGAAACGGTGTCCTCTCACCTTTAGACATAAAGAATTCCTCCTGCAAGTTTCTCTTAAGTCCTCTATTTCTTACACATCACGTGCAGCTCTATTATTGGATGCAGCGGGGTTCCTTACTCCACTGGATCTGAAGGCTTTGAACTTGAGGTCAAGTTCAAGCCCACAGCACACAGATTGGGAACAGAATTTCTTGCACTCTGTGTGGTAGACTATGTGTCAGCGAGGTAAGGCCCTTATTAAGAATGGATTATTCTTCATAGGTGGCAGAGATCTCATTCATCAGTTTCTTGCATTTGCCTGTGTGTTCCCCTATGATAAGGCAAGTGTCCCTGGATTTTAAGTGGTACACAAAAACCCAAAAACTTAGTACTAATGTATTTATTGTAATGTCCTTTACAAATATGTATAACAAGCTGATCAAACTTATCATTTCATGAATAACTTTAAGACAAGGCTAAAATAGGTTAACTTTTTAAAGGAAAGTAATTTTCAAGACACATTGAGCAGATACTTGTGTTATGGAACACAGATATGGGAAAAGTCAGAAAGGTGGTGCATTTTTTTTTTTTTTTTTAATTTTGGCTGCACCGGGTCTTACTTGCAGCATGTGGGATCTAGTTCCCCGACCAGGTATCAAACCCAGGCCCTCTGCGTTGGAAGCGTGGAGTCTTAACCGCTGGACCACCAGGGAAATCCCCCCAAGCGGTTTTAATAATGGTTCTAGTAACTTTGAGAGAGTGTTAACGAAGACTTACTGCTTCTCTGGCCCAGAGTGCGAGAAGTGCTTATCTTCGCTTCAGATCTGGCTGCAGGGTCATCTTGCCCTCCCCTCTCTGATCCTCGATGTTTACGGACGCTGACATGCTCGGTGTCCTGTTCATAACCATGTCCACTGTTTCTTGTGGGCTGAGTGTGCGCATGCGTTTTAAATGGTAGCAAGATAATGTACGGCGTCTAGGCCACCCCTGTTATTTCTATTAAATAATGACATGATGATGGTGGCCTGTAATTGTCCATTTTCTATTAACCACCCTGACCAAGTAAACTGTTTTCTGATCTCTCTTAGATGGAAATCCTGTATGAATGTGGAAGCCATTAGCAGAGTAATTGCTGTCCGTTACCATGACAACCAGCCGCTGCAGTCACCTGCCCGAAGTGCTGCCAGACTGCACCAGTTCAGCTGCACCCGTGGTGAAGACCGTGGAGGACTGTGGCAGCCTAGTGAATGGGCAGCCGCAGTATGTCATGCAAGTTTCAGCCAAGGACGGGCAGCTGCTTTCAACAGTAGTGCGGACCCTTGCCACCCAGAGGTAGTACCACAGTTAAAATCAATTCGGAGGGCTGTCAGATGGGAAATGCTACAGGGAATGTAATTAGTGCTCAGGTCTTTGTGTCAGGTGAGAGGAGGTACTGGGAGGGGAAAAAAAAAAAAACTACACATGTTCTGTCATGGCCGTTTCTATAGCAATGGGGCAAAAAGATAAAACTCACGTTGTGGACGTTTCCGCTTAAAGTCACACTTGCAGAGAGGCAGGCAGGGGAGGATCCCACAAGACACAGGGTTACTTGCTTAACATGTGTTATGTTGACCTTACTACGGTAATTACATTTTCGTTGTCTCCAGGTGCTAACAAAGGTAGCCCTTTGTTATAATAGAATGAAGGAGGCCCCTGGTTTCAGATGACTGAGCCAAAGTGATTGGATACGTGGGCAAAACTTTTGAAGTGACGTTCTGACGTGCACACTAATCAGCATGCCATGATGGGGGCTGTCCACAGCTACTTCCTGGGGGAGTCTCCTCTGACACATCCCCACATGGGGGCCTCTTCTGCTGCTTCCTCCTTCGCTCTCCCTGCATCCCAGCCACGATCCTTCATACACACTCTGCCCCGTGAAGTATCATTGTCTCCCCCAAGTGATAGACCGGAGCCAGAATGAAGGCTCTGAGCAGCCCGGAGACGGCTTATCCAGGCCGGCACTTTGTCCCTGGAGGTCTCCTCTGGTGCTCTTGCTGCCCACTGGCAGGTTGAGAGCCACAGGCTGCCTGGCCACTAGGTACTCCTTGGCTTCTCCATTAGTTTCAGAATGGGTAAGTGGGATTGGGACTTACGACTGTAAAATACTGGACTTGCCCATTGGTTTCAGTGCTGACACTTCCGGCCCTGAAACTTTGGGTCAGTCACTCAGACCTCGACTGCTGACCTTGGTCTGAGCAATTCAGCCAACCCCTCCGGTGCAGATACAGGCCCACCTACGTGCCCCTGCAGCAGGACTCCTAGTGACACCACAACATTCTCTGTCCCCCCTCCTAGCCCCGGACGTGGTGGCCACCAGACATGGACTCACACACCGCCACGTGTTGTAAACATTATCCATGTGCCACCTACTTCCAATCCGTGCGGCTATTGCAAAGGGAAGAAATAGGAAAAAAAAAAAAAAAAGGTCAATATATATTTTTCCACCTCTGGGAAAACTTGTAACAATCGGTTAGGTAGAACTCAGTATACGATGAGGCAGTGAGCATCATTGCTCTGCTGTGAACTGAGACGGATAGTTATCTGTCTGCATATGCCCCCATCACCCTCGAGCCATCAATCACCTCATCTGATCAGGAAGAACAGTCTGCAGAGCTGAAACGACTGAGACCTGTGAGCCGATGTGCGTGTGTGTGTGTGTGTTCTACCACGTAGACACGTAAACCAGAGCTTTTACAGTTTTACACGCATTTGGTTCAGGGTGAATGACAGAGGCCAGTAATAATGAGAGAAAAAAGTCAACTCTTTAAACTTTCTTTTCCCACCCCTGGGCATGAGGGGGTCTTTTGGCAAGGGGGAAGGAGATCCTTTCCTCTTTTAATCCCCTTTTAGCCTTCACTCATTCCCAGGATCATCCCCAGAAAGGCCTTTCCACAAAGATGGAGTCAAAGAGAATGGTGGGCATAAGCCTGGAACACTGTCATCTCTGGGGGACAGGAAGAGGCGGAGAGGGTGGGTAAAGAGTCTGGTCCTTGGGTTGGCGCATACAATGATGACATTTTAAAATCTAATACCCAATAAGGACCTCTAGCAATATAAGATGACATTAATCAGAGAGGGATAGTCCTCCAGTATCCATTGAGAAGTGAGGCCATCTTGGTTTGAGCCTCCCATTGGCCTCTGACTTATGTGATGAGGGCCATGTTTTTTGATTTTCCCCAACCTGAGTTTTTCTACAAGTGAAAACAATTACCATTAACTAGGCACTTACCACGTGCTGGTCCCTCTTCTAAGCTTGTAATCTGGACTATCTTTTCTCATCCTCACAGTCGCCATATGAGGAAGGCACCATGCTTTGTGCCCATTTCACAGATGAGGAAACTAAAGTCCAGAGAGATGCTGTAACTCACCCAAAGGTAGCCAGCTCGTGAGCAGCAGAGCTGGGGTTCGAGCCCAGGCAGCTGTACTCCAGAGCCTGCCTCACAAACCACTACCCTGTGTGTCCTCACAGAATGTGCAGGGGTGGTGTTTCCAAGTTAAAGGCCAAGCTGTGGACTGAGGCCACCTTGGTAGCACGTACCATTCCTCACTTTCAGCTTACTGTCCTCAGCGTCCCAACGTGCATCCTAGGAAAGCTCCAAGCACCAAGCTGCCACAGCGTCGTGCTCTGGCTCAGACTGCAGTTCTGTGTGGCAGCTTCAGGGCTGGCCGCCAGTCTGTTTCCCTCCTCTCACTCGCCTATCCCACTGAAAGAAGAAAGGAAAGGAACCTCTGGGCATTCAAAAGTGTCCCAGCCTGGTTCAAAAGATGCAGCTTGTCTAGAAACTACAATTGGTGTCGTTTCAAAACAACTTCTTAATAGCTAGGGATGATTTTTATTTTTTGATCGGTAGTTTGCCTGAACTACTTCGATGTCTAAGGTAAGATTAACACATTGCTCCTTTTCACTTGCTTATGACCCTGGGCTCACCTGCTCTGGTATTGGTCACCCCCTATTTCTTTGTATTGACAGAAGTAGATGCCCAAGGACCCCAGCTCCCACTACCGAGTGCCAGTGTAGATCTCGGGTTGTAAACCAGGTGTCTGTTCTGAGCAGCTGCCTCGGGTGAGGGTCCGAAGGACACAGAGCCAGAGGACCACGGCATGGCAGTGGTTTCCAGCCCGTTACCAGCAGGTGCCCCTTCTTCTCTTGCAGCCCCTTCAATGACCGGCCGATGTGCAGGATCTGCCACGAGGGCAGCAGCCAAGAGGACTTGCTCTCTCCATGTGAATGTACAGGGACCCTGGGGACAATTCATCGGAGCTGCCTGGAGCACTGGCTGTCATCCTCAAACACCAGCTACTGTGAACTCTGCCACTTCAGGTTTGCAGTCGAGCGCAAACCCAGGCCGTTAGTGGAGGTCAGTAATTGGGGCACGTCTTGAAAACTTAACTCTAATGAGCAAATGATGTCTGCTTTTATGCCCAGATCACAAACCCTGTGCAGCTTCACTGAAGCACAGTAATAGCTCTGTGTGTGTGTGTGTGTGTGTGTGTGTGTGTGTGTGTGTGTGTGTGAGAGAGAGAGAGAGAGACAGACAGACAGACAGACAGACAGAGCCAGCACTAAGGAGCCAACAGTAGAAAGGTGACCTCCGCAAGGTGGAGACGAGAGAGTGGGAGAAATCAGTGTGAGAAGGGACGTTTAGAGACTTGATCTCCATTTCCCATTCCTGTGACGTGGAGCAAACAGATCAAACACTGTTCTCTTTGCACACCATCTTCTCACCTTGAAGCAACAGATAAATGGGCATTTGGGTTGCCTAGTCTGAGAAATCTTTGTGAAAAAAAATAGCGGCATTGTATAATGCATATAGACCTAGACTTCTGGGTTTGAATAGTAGGTAAGTGACTTCAGCTATTGGAATTACTATGAGGGTTAAATGAGTTAATATTTATTATACACTTATAATACCAGATACATATTCAAGTGTTTGAATAAGAAAAGTCTCAGTCTCTCCTAGGAAATTACATGCAAGCTTTTTTCAGCTAATAACCTGAATCTCTTTTCTTAAAGAGATTCTTAGGATTGGAATCTCTTTTCTTAAAGGTGGTGCTGTCAACTCAGCCATTAAAATGTCAGGACATTCCTTTTCCTATTTTAGGGGCCATATGATGCTTCTTTAGACCCAGGGTCTGGTCTTGTATTAACTGGGGGAATTGGAAAAAATTATTAGATTATTTTTGCCTTCTCTCGTACCTAACTTCTAGTCAATCAAAACTTGGATATCGGCAACAAGAAATATTCTAATACATTATGAAGTATAGCTAGTTGAAAGGGACCAACACATTGTGCCTATAATCCGGTCAGGCTGATAACCTCCTCCTTATTTCAGCAGCTGACCCAGTGGAACTTTGACATTAAACTGAGCTAGAAATCAAGAAGCCCTTCTTGGAGGCTATTTAAAATGGTGTATTAGCGCCCTGGCACTAAGACTCTATAGGGAGCTCTGCTTAAACATTCTTTTGGTTTTGACCTTGAAAATTTAATCAGGACCTGTAACTGGGGCCTGTTTTAACTATGACTTGCTTGCCAAATGGCACAAAATTTATTTGACTTGCCCCAATAAACACTATGCTTCTCTTTAAGATTCTGGATCAAGTGACCTCTTAATTTAGGCATCTTGCTCCTTGACATCCACTTCCAGAAATTCGTTTTTGTAGAGTGCTGTGAGGGATTTGGCCCAATGCCGCATTCATTGGGATTTGCATTTCAGAACTTCTCTGCAGAGGGGGAAATATAATTAAATAATAAACAAAGGAGGTGCAGACTTCCAAGCCCAGTGGCAAACGTTAAAAAGAAGCCTATTTCTCCTTTCCAGAAACTTTCTGGAACCTTCCCAAGTTGATATTGCAGTTTCGTCCAGGGAAGCCGACTTCCCAAAGTAAGGAAACCCTGCTTTGAATGGGCTGCATCCAGTGGTCTTTTTTTTACCGGTCTATCCCCAGTAAAGAAGACTTTTGCTTGGTAAAAACCCCAGTGTGTGTATGCATAATACAATAGATAACAAAGGAGGGGGTGTATGTGCGTGCGTGTTAGATAACACACATGTGTAAACCTTTTCAGTCTCAGAGAGGGACACGTACCCCAACACAGAGGTTTCTTCAGAGCTGCTGATGTCAGGCTATAGACAGACTCCAGCATCTTAGGCAACTGTCATTAAACAAGGAAACGAGGCAAATGACCTTGAGAATGTGTGAGGTGCTCTGCAAGATTTAGGGCCTCGCCTACAAAAACTTCACCCAAACGGTCACTGGTGGTGAAATTTTCATTGCACCAATGGAATGTGACATTTTTCAGAGTTAATGATGATTGAACAAGTTGAAAGTGAAAGGCAGACCTTCTCAAGCCGGGGAGGCTGGCCATTTGATCATCCCATGGCGAAATGAACTTGCTGTTTGACCACAAGCAATAAAAAGAAGTTGTCTTTGGTTTCTCAGCTGGAGGACAAATGAGAACCAGGTGCAGGCAGATTTTTAAACAAATGACATTACTAATTGACTTTTATCCTCTTACCAAAGGGTGGGTTTATTCACAGTGAGCATTGCTTCCCAATATGTTTACCTCTAGATGAACACGAATCTTTTTAGTAAATCAGCAAAGCCTGCCTATTTGGGTTAAGCATTAGGAGTATTGTTACTTTATTTCTCATTTTCACTCTTTTGATTGCTTTCATCATTACTTTATTTACCAGTTGGATCTGCCTTCTCATTAAAGCAAGAAAATTCCATAACATTTCATTTCAAAATCAGTGGGATAATAACAACTCCATTGCTAGAGGAAGTGGTTGAAAAAGTCATTTATAAATTTTATTTGTCAGTATCCAAACGTTACATCAGTCGGAATTGTTGTAACACCTCAGACTCCCATTCTTTAGTAAACTCTCAGTCCTCCATTCACCGTAAGCCTTCGTCTTCCTCAGTATTCCTGTTGGGAAGACACTTCCCCTTCCATCTTTTCCTACACTCTCTGCAGCCAGCAGTTGGATGTTCATTTTTAACATATCAGGAACCCAGAGCCATCTTCTACACAGGCTGCTACATAAAGTCTTTCCTCCCTTTCCCTGCAAAAGGGTGAGTTTCTACTCAAAATGGCCAAATCAATAGGCTGGTTACTATTAGCATCTCCAAATAGGGCATCGCCTCTCCACTTACCACTGACCATCTGGGTGGTGGCTGTTTCTCTGAGCTGCAGTGTGGAGGGTGAGCTACAGGCTCTCTGTGATCTCTTTGGCCTCTATAAGGCTCAAATTCTTGGGCAAAAAAATACATTCTACACTTAAAATAAGTACATTGTATGGTAAGTAAATTATACTTCAGTAAGTTGCTTGTGTATGTCTACTTACTTACCCACCTACATGGCGGAACTAAATCTGTTAGTCTTTTAAGTTCATTGCCAGTTTTATACCCTAAATATTTTCTTGGTGCTAAGTAAGCAAGTATAACAAGAGTTAGTTTCAACCCAAGAGAGCTGCACTGCGATCATCCGGTTTATTCAATTATGGATGAATTTCCTCCACTGTCCAGATAAGGTAAATCTCCTAAGATCTGTGCCTACTTGGGCAAAGCTTGAAAGGAAAGCATTCGAACCGTCCATAGCAAAAAGGAAGAGCAGATGTAACCCACATACATATCATAGCTACACAGCCAGCACTTCTCTCACGAAAGCTACATATTTTTTGTTGATGACAGAAAATGTACCCAGTGGCGATTTGTCAGATGAATTAGCTCCAAAATATTGACCTGGTATTGGCAGAAAATAGACATCCACTAACCATAAAAGGATTCTCGGAATGACCAGCTTGGGTAATTTTATGGTCTCCTCCCTGCTCATTTTCAGTTTTCCTCATTTCTATCTGTAAGTTGAACTCTAATACCATTCTTTTATAAGGGTGAAATACAGCAAACCAATAAAAATATCACAGTTTGTTCCCAAAAATGTGCGCCTTGACTTCAGCCTGTTGCCACGATTGCATATCGGATTGAGCAGTTTGCCAAGGAAGCCCAGGTTGCTATGTGCAAGTAGCGTGCTTGCAACATCAGCTTCTAGTGATGGGAATATCTGCCAGTGGGCTTTCCTAAGACGTGTATCAGTAACACCCACCCTTGCCCGGGAAACTCATGAAGTAATAGGTCAGCTCAACCATGTCGTGATTAAAGTGAAACAGCCAGGAAATGGTGGAAACCTGCAGGAAAGGCTTCCTAGGATCTGATCTTCCTCCAATCAGGGAGACATGGTGATGTTTCACAGAAGGAGTGATTAGGTTTCCATATTCCTATTTCCTTTACCCAACCCCAGCTGACTGATAAGAATTGTATGAACAATTTAAAAGCTGTTCCCTGTGAGTCAGAGGTTGAGCTAAATTGAAACAGACTGTTTTCACACATATCAGTTACTCAGAATAATAGGATATAAAGGGAGCTGAGGATTAAGGATTTTTTTTTCAAACTTTTTATTTATAATTTTTTTTTAAGTCACTGGAGGAAAATGGTTTTAAAGTGTGCCCTGGATTCACTGTCATCTCCAGCTGTACAACAGGGAGCAGAGTTGAACTGCTGTGAAGAAATGCCTTTGTACCTTGGCCCTTCACTATTTAATAGATTTGAGACTTCACTGAAACCCTCCTACTGTGTTTCTATCAGACTTAGGTGAGGACGTTGCTCGCTTCGTTGTAGTGGGTTGGGTTGGGTTTTGATTTCCTTTTAATATTTATTTATTTTATTTTATTTTTGGCTGCGTCAGGTCTTAGTCGCGGCACGCGGGATCTTCATTGCGGCGTGTGGGATCTTTCCTTGAGGCACACGGGCTTCTCTCTAGTTGTAGCGCACGGTTTTCTCTCTAGTGTGACATGTGGGTTTTCTCTTTCGTTGTGGCGCACGGGCTCCAGAGCGCATGGGCTCTGTAGTTTGCAGCACTCAGGCTCTCTAGTTGAGGCGTGCGGGCTTAGTTGCCCCACGGCATGTGGGATCTTAGTTCCCCGACTAGGAATTGAACCCACGTCCCCTGCCTTGGAAGGCAGATTCTATACCACTGGACCACAAGGGGAGGTCCCTGGTTTTGATTTTTAATGTATTCTTGTAAGTAGAAACGTGAGCTTTGTGTTTCAGAGTATTCATTTTCATCAGCAGACACTTGTAGCATTGGGATAATTAGGGAATGACACCAAGGGGGTGTAAACTGATTGAGAAAACTTCCCAGGCATGAGGACCACCTACTTCCTCGAAGGAAGGCAGGCAAGCTCCCCTCTTCATTCCAACCTGCGAGTGAAGGGCAGGCCAGTGAGAAAGGTGGCTGGACCATAATCACAGCATGTGATAGGCAATCACGAAGCCTCTGTTCGTTGAATAAACGGATGAATGG